GCACTCATTGTAGGAAGGATCCCTTTTCAATTTCATGTGACTTTTTGTGTAGTTCTATGTTGTCAGAAGTCACTTACTACAGTTTCTTTCTGGATTTCTTGATCATTATTCATTCTTGAACTTCAGGGTTTTCCTGAAGCAGAAATATGGGAGATGGGTGGTCACTCTCCCTCTCCCCACTTTGAGTGGACATCTTGGGAGAAGTCTCTTGACATTATGTGTGAAACATTATTCTAGGTGCAGGAGATATAAAGACAAATAGAAGTGGTCCTGCCCTCAAGAGATTTACATTCTATTGGAGTGATAAAATACACACACAGGGAAACAATAATTTAAGAAGGGTGAGAGTGCTAACAACAGGTCATTTGGAGTCGACTTCAGAGAAGGTGACAGTGAGCTAAACTTGAAAAAAGAAGTTGAAGATTCTGAAAGTGATGATGAGGAAGGAGCATATTATAGGGATGAAGCCAGAGGAATGCAATGGCAAGTTATAGGTAGTTGTCCAATTTCTCTGCAACACGAGGTATGTGAGTAGGAGCAGTGTAAAATAAAGGAGGTTGTATCCAAATTATAGGGGGACCTAAATGCTAGACTGAGTAACCAGACTAGGATATTGTACTATCCTAGAGGCAAAAGAAAGCCAGTGAAGGATCATAGTACAGGTAGTCCAGCCCAACTCCCTCATTTTAGAGAAAAGGAACTGGAGGCTCAGAAAGGTTAAGCTATTTGCTCATGGGTACACCATGTTAGGCAGGATTAGAATCCAGACCATCTTGGCTCCAAGTCCCAAGGTTTTTGAGCAGGAGTGACATGGTGATACCTGCTCCTCAGGAAGATTATTTTGGCAACTGCATAGAGAATGGATTGGATAGGGAAAGGTTTGGAAGCAAGACCAATTAGGAAGCTATTATAATGGACCAAGTTAGTGGTGATGAGCATCTAAAGTGAGGTTTTAACGGTAGGTAGAGAGAATGGAATGCATGCAGAAATCAAAAGGATGGGACAAATGAATGGGTGTGGGGAGGGGGCAGAACCAAAGATGACTAAGGTTTTTAAGTGTAAAAGAATGGGAGGATTGTGGTGTTCTTGGAAGAAATGGGGACATTCAGAGGAGGCAGGCAGGTAAAAATGATTTTGATTTTGGGTGTGTTGAGTTTGACATGCTGAAAAGACAAGTTCACAGACCACAGTTAAGTGTCCCTGGACTAGATGGTTTATTTCTAAGTTTTCTCCCAAGTTTGAGCCCCATGACACTATGAATACATATATACATGGCTAATGAATCCCCCACAGCTGTCAAAAGTGCTTCTCAAGCTAATCAGCAGTTTAAACGTCACAGAAAAGGAATGAAGCCCTCCCCAATTCCAGTACTACAGATCACCTCAGGATCAAACCCCATCTCTCCTCCTCTGCTCCAGTCTCAGAGGCCAACACCTGTACTGGTACCTCTGACCACATGCCCTACTGCCTCCTCCCACAGCCACCTCTTTTATCATTACCTCTTTCTCTTTAATTTTTAACTTCTTTCTGAATTGATGGACATCCTTTTCTGTTGCATTGAAACATGCCCAAATCTCTTTCATCATTAAAAAGCCTTCACTTGACCTAACCTCCTTAAAGCTGTAGAAACCTTCTACATTTTATAGCCAAACTCCTAGAAGCTGTCAGTGCTTGTTGCCTCCACTTTGACCCCCACCCCCATTTGTCAAACCCTGATAAGGCTTTCCTTTCCACCACTGGAAACTGCTCTTTCCAAGATCACCAACGATCTCTTTATTGCTAAATTCACTATCTAGCACTCCCCTTAAGCCCTACAGTCACTTTTTAGTTTGTTCCTTCCCTAGGTTTGTGAAGTACTCCTGTCTTGGGTTTTTTTTTAAAAGCTATGTATATATATAATTTTTTTTTGGTGAGGCAAACAGGGTTAAAGTGACTTGCCCAGGGTCACATAGCTAGTGAATATCATATGTCTGAGGCCAGAGTTGAACTCAGGCCCTCCTGAGTCCAGGGCTGGTGCTCTATCCACTTGGTTTTTTTTTTTTTTCTTTGCCTTTGGAAGATTCTTCCTAATCTTCTTTATAGGATGATCATTTTCCTTTCTCCATCCCCATCTTCCTTTCATGAATGTATGCTAGGGCTCTGTCCTAGCTCCCCCTCCCCTCCTCGTCTTTATTGTCTTGATCTTACTGGCCTATAGATTCAACTATCATGTCTATGAAGAGAACTCCCAAATCTACACATTTAGCCCTACCCTCTCTGCAGAGGTCTAGTCTGACATCACCAATTGGCTGTTGGACATTTTCACCTGGATCCCACAGGCATTTTATATTCATGTATAAAAGAGGACTCATTACCTTCCCCTCCCTCTCATATACCTTTTCCTACTTCAGTCAAAAGCAGTCCTTCCGGTCCCCCCAATGTTCACAACCTAGGAGTTTTCCCTCAGTAATTCACCGTTTACTCTGCCTTCTCCAACTATATCCAGTCAGTCGCCAAGCATTGATTTTTATCTCCATGACATTCTTGGGTCCATATGCTTCTTTTCTCCACTCCCATGGTCCCTGTCATAGTGCATGATTTCAATACAAATAGCCTGGACTGTTCTTGTTGCATTCAGCGTCTCCCCTCTCCAATTCATCATCATGCTGTCAAATTGATATTCATAAAGCACAATGACTATGTCACTTGCTCAAGAAGCTTCAATGGTTCTCCATTGTCTCTTGGATAAAATACAAACTCATGGCATGTACTTCCCAATCTGGTGTCAAGCTGGTTACAAAATGATCCCATCTCCTACACTCATCAGTTCAGCCAAATGGGCCAGTTTGTTCTTCATACACCACATTATCCACGTGGTTATTGTCTCCCACCATCTCTGTGTATTTATTTTATAATGATCCTGCCCCCCAGCAGAATGTGAGAGACTAAAGTTTTACTTTCTTATTTGTATCTGTGGCACCTTATCACAGCCTGGTACATGGCAGTCACTATTTTAATAATTGCTGTTTGGCTGAGTGAAAGCAGTATCTTCTAATACCTCTACACATAATCTAACCCTTTCATAACTGACACTGACATGTGGCTTTAAGGTTGGCGAAGCACTCTTCTCACAACCATGCTGAGGTAGTTACTCCACGTACTTGTCATCTTCATTTTACAAAGGAGAAAACTGAGAAACTTGCCTGTGGTGACACAGCTCATGAGGAGTGGGATTCAAACCCAGCTCTCCTGACTCTGTTTAGCATTTTTTTTTTTTACTTTGACATACTACTTCTTATCATCTGTTTAAGTATGTCATTGCTACTGTAGGTAGTAAATATGGATTTAAAAGTTTTTATGACTAACACATTTAAGATTATTTTAAGAAATTCTGAGAATGTTTTTCCATTTAACTTTCAAAAGCACAATAAGCGAAATGATTATTGTAATTTTATTTTCTTCTTATGTTTTGGTCCATTATCTGTGATTTTACTGTTGACGGGAACACTCCCCCCCCATAAAAAAAAATGCATACTGGCATCTGAATTCTACAAATTATAGTCAGAGAATTGCCTGGAAAACTGAATGTTAAGTGACTTGCCCAGAGTCAGCCAGTATGTTAGAAGCAACATTTGAATTCATGCCTTCCTGAATCTGAAGCTGGTTCTCTCCGCTAGTAGGTAAGCTTAATAAATGTATTGAACTAACTGGTCAATCGACAAGTATTTATTAAGCAGTCCCTATGTACCAAGTACGGTGCTAGGACTGGGATATACAAAGACGAAAATACAACAGTTCCTGTTCTTAAAAGGCTTACCTTTTTTTGGGAGGGACAAGATAAGTAAGACATATAAGCAGATACAAAATAAAAGGGAATCTGGGGGAGACGACAGTAGCAATTGAGAAAAATCAAGACTTCTGGAACTTAACTTTGAAGGAAAGCAGAGTCTGAAGAGATGGAGGTGGGGGTGGAAGAGTCCATTCAGGGCCCAGGACAGCCAGGACAAAGGCAAAGATGACTTTCAAGGAATGGCAAGAAGCCAAATTTGGCCAGCCAACAGAGTTGTGAAGGAGAGGAATAAGTCTAGAAAAATAGTTGAAGCAGATTGAGAAGGGCTGTAAATATCAAACAGGGGAGTTTGTACTTGTTTCTGGAGCCTGAATAGGGAGCGACATGGTCAGATATGAGCTTTAGAGACATCATTTTGGCAGGTTTACAGAGACGGACAAGAGTGGAGGAGAGAATTGAGAGGGAGACCAGCAGCTACTGAAATAGTCCAGTAATAGGAGCCTGGACTAGGGTGGTGGCTGACAGAGTGGAGAGAAAGGAATGGGTGAGGGAGGGAGGGAGGGAGAGAGAGAGGAGATAGCAATGACAAAACTTGACAGCCAGTTGGCTCTGTGGGGCTCAAAGGAGTGAGGAGTGGAGCATGATTGATGTTTAGAACCTAAGTGACTGGAAAGATAGTGGTGTCCTCAACAGAAACTGAGAAGTTTGGTGGAGAGGTGGGTTTGGGGAAAAGAAGATGAGATCTGTTTTGGGTATATTGAGTTTCAGGCACTGGCAATCCAATTCTAGACAATCCAATTCTAGTTGGCAGTTGAAAGAACATTAACATTATGCTCTAGGGCCCGTTTAATTACCCCAAATGAAATGCAAGACAATTCAAACACATTCAATTCACACTTTTATTTAATTAAATTCATGAGGCAAAATTTAAAACTATTATAAATATTGTAATATGTTTTATTTTACCTTAATTGTATTGCATACCTCTAAAGAGATATATAACAAGAAAACGCAGGACTATCTAAATTAAAGCATTTACCCCTCTTAAATAGATTTGTAATTCTGAAGAACTATAAAAATATCATGAAAGCCATGTTACATGTTTTTTAAAAACAAATACCACTAGCAAGTTACCCTTTACCAATTTAACAAATCTGCCAATGGAAAAAGAAAGCTTTGATACATTAGTTAACTTTGGAAAAAATATGGTCAAAAATGGATATCTAGATAATAGCAAGAACACACATCAGTTTATTAAAACAAGAGTTTAAATTCACAATTAATGAGTTTAAAATGACCTGTGAGCGTACATATTGACTGGAAAAGAAGTTACCTGATGACATGTCATTAGTATGTCAACTGCTTATATCCCCCAAATATGAATACACTGAGTAGGGGGGAATGTTAAAATGAAAATCTGCTATCAATATACATAATTGAATGGTCTTTGTATGATTAGACTTCTAGGAAAACAAAGTCCTTTTTATGTCAGTCATTACTAGGAAACAGGAAAAACAGACATTCATGCAAAGAGGGGGAAAATACCATATTGTTATGTTTTATACTTAGCCATCCAAGTGACTTACATTTGAAGACCATGGTTTGAGACAGGAACTTCCAGTTACATTTTAACTTAATTTCTTTTAAGTAGGAATCTCTAAATTGGTATTACATTGGAGTCTTACTATAGTGTAGTTTTCAGAATCAATGTTATGAGACATTGGTCTCATATCTCAATCATTTGGTCCTTCTGGGAACTAAAAATTCTTGGATGAAGTTCAAGACAGACCCATTTTACACATGATACCACAATACTACTAGTCATGTTATAATAAGGCTTCGATGTATTTTGAAAAATCCAATTTCCACTTTGACAGCCTCTTTTATAGTTTATTAGAAAGAGGTAGTAATGTAAATTATTTATACTCTGTGTCACTAAACATATGTCCCATAGAAACAAATCTTTCATGTATGATATTGATAGCTATTTTTAAAAAACCTAGTTTTTTTTTTTTAATAGTGTTATGATTCTTAGTGTTGGAGCTTTGTCACTCTAACAAGTCAAATATAAAAAAAGGCAGAAAAAAAGATGAAAGGTAAACACCATATTCTAATATTTTTAGAAAATAGGATTAAGGAAACAAAGCACAGACAACCAGAAAGGCTTAAAAAATTCAGTAAGCTACACTGGATTTGTTATTCAGCCACAAAAGGAACAAAAGCTCATTTACAAAAGGACACACATGATCCTCCCCCTTCACCGAATGAATCTATATTTTTTGGAAAGCTCAAAGCAAAAGAAGGCGAGATGTGCCTAGAGTTCAGCAGAAGCATCACTAATGTAATAACTAAAAACAAAAAAACCCCAAAACCCAACAATTTCCATTTTTACACACTCAAGGTTAAAAAAATTTAATGTAACATTTAAACTCTATATTTTGAGAATAATTCATTTTACAGGATTAAACAACTATTGTAAACTTTTTGTTCAAAAGACGTGTTAGATGGGAAAAATGTTTCACATTTCTAAAACTACTGCTTAGCTTTTGAGAACACACAATATTAAAAGTTAATATAAAAATGCTATAAGGCTTTAAGCAGGCTCAAAGTCAAGATAATAATTACAACTCTAGGAATAAAATTAGGTGGCTGATTTCAACAGGGCAATTCCTATTATTAAATAAGTTATCTATTGGCATAAAAAAATCTTGGGATGGAAAGAATGTATCTGGTATTTTAAATATTGGCATATTTATATTTAGGTCTTTTTTAGCTAAGCTGAGAAAGCTGAAGCAACATGAGTTCTGCAATTTCCTCTGGCTTCATGAGTCAAATATACTGAATGCAATCCAAAGCATATTTGGTTAATACAAATTTTTAGGTCATATTCAAATTCAAGTGCTATGGCCTACTGCCTATGAAAAAAATTTTAGCTTAAGAACCAATGAATGGCAAATGAATAAAATGTAATTAGATGGTTTTTAGGGTCCCTTCCACTACTAAAATAGTATTATTTCATTCCTTGTTTTTTGAACAGTTGGACTATACCTTAGAGAATTACTGCGCACAACTTTGGCTCTGAATTGAGGGCATTTTAAAAATCCCATTTGCGGCTTTTAGTCACCTCTTCTAGGTAGTCATTTACAATAATGGTGGTGATCATTGGCACATAATGTGCTCAGCTGATCAGGCAGCCAAATCAGCTGGGCAGAAGACCATTCAGGATGATTCAAGAGGTGTAAAGATTATCAGGAGCTGACTGTTGTTTTCCAGAGAAGCTCAGTTATTTGTGATTAAAAATGCTACCAGTTTCTTTTCAGTTACATTGGTTTGTTCTTGTAGGAAACACAGGTGAGACGAAATATGGCACAAGAACAAGGCTAGATCACCATAGCTTAAGTACAAGGTCATAGTGCCAGGGAAAAAGTTAAATTTTTATCCATGTATTGAAAAGAAAAAAAAGAAATCTATAGTATAGTAGAATCCAGCTACTCTATTTACTTTGAGATATAATTTCAATCAATGATAGGAAGAATATTCTCCAGTGTTTTAGTTTTAACAACTGTACTTAAACATCCTCATGGCCTTAAGAATTAAGAAGTAATTAAAGATTTTTCTTGGTAAATAAAAAATACAGATAGATATGTACGTCTATCTATCTATCTATATCTATATCTATATATATATCTTACCCTGATGCCTATGGCCAAAATATATCTCGCAACAATTTTCTTGATTTATATTAGTCATAAAAATAAAGACTATATTGTAAGTATTTTCTTTATAGACAATTTCTATTAGAAAACAATAGTTTAATGAAAACAATACAGTGTTTCATATATGACTGAATTGGTCTGGAGACAAGAAAGGATGCATACAGTATTTGAAAACATACTGTGTCAAAATTGACTAGACTCTTTGCCTCACTGACACAATTTAAAGTTTATAACTTTTGGTTTTTATATCTTAGGAATTTTTGATTTGGAAAAAATTACTTTTCTGTAGTGTGAAGTCAGTAGGCCACCCTCCAATGAAAAATTAAGAATCCCTTCTCTTGGCCTGTATGATGTAGCCTTTGGATTTGATAATTCCTCTGCTTTTAACAATGACCGAATACCGAAGGACCCACAGGGGCACCCACTCATTTGCTCGGATGTCGGGGAGGCTCTCCTGAAGAGCTTCTTGGAAACTTGCTTCAGAAAGCAGTTCTGGGGAGAGAAATCATCACATGTGATCAATAGTGATACATAAGCCCTTCTACCACATACATACATAAGCAGCAAAGATTTAAAATCTAAAATAAAAGTGGGTAGAATTTAATGTCTATGATATTTATCAAAAACTCATATAGAAATTCTTATGAAATACACATTATTACTCTGGGCTTGAAAGATCAAGACCCAAGTGACTATCAGAGATACCAATTTAAATCTGAAGCACCTAGTTCAGAGAGGAACATGATATTAACCAATTGTATTGGTAAGCCCCTACTCTGGGCTAAGAGCCATTAACTCTTAGTTATATGAAGAATGTAGAAGATCCAGGCACTTTACATTTATATGGGCTTTCTTCATTTTCACACTCATCATTACATTTAATCCTCATGCTGACCCTGAGGTAGCGCCATCATTTATATTCTTCATGTTTCAGATAAAGAAGCTAAGGGAAGTCCAATGTCCTGCCCTTTAAAGCTCATGCCACCAGTGTGGAGGAGCCAAGATGCAAACCTAGTTTCCTCTTATCAGTGCAGTGCTAATGCTACTACATCATAACAGTGATTCCTCTGCCTTGCCTACTCAATCACTGACAAATCTTTGTTAAAAAAAAGTTATCCAAAAGAGACTGGAAACTGATATAATCAAAGCTAGTAGGGAAAAGATCCTACCTATCAGAGAAATGAAAAAATATTGTAGCAAACTATCCTTAGAACAAAATTACTAATTGTGAGAGGGACCAAAATTAAATTTGGATCATTCTGAAATACAGCAGAGAACTAGGGTGAAACACTGCGCGCCCTGCCCCCCTCAGATACTGCTGTAATCTTACAGAAATTGATCATGCCAATAGGATGTGAAATGAAAGTAGAGACTATCTGTCTACATTTGCACAAGACTCTCAGGTATACATTAGGAATTTCTACACCGTCTCACCTGGATTTTCTAAATGAATGTGGCAGGGGGTAGGGTGGGATAGACATGCCTGAGACTGGGCATCAGGAGGCTGGATGAAAATGTCCTCTCTGGCCCAAGGGACCAAGCAAGTTCACTTACTCTCACTCTTGTTTTCCCATCTAAGAAATGGGGATAATTCCACCCATCTCCAGGGATGTTGTGAGGATCATCAATCACAGATTTGGCTCTGGAAGTGATCTTAGAGATCTTGTTCAAGCTCTCATTTTACAGATGAGGAAAACGAGACCCAGAGACGGCTAGCCCCAGGTCATGCAGCTACCAGATGGCACAGCTGGATTTGAACTCGGGTCCTCTGACTCCAAGGCCAGCAAGCTTTCCACCAGTTTATGCTGACTATCTGGACTTTGTAAGCCCTAAAGCACTGTATAAATGTCAAATGCTATTGTTACTGCTAATAATATAGGAACAATAGCCACGTAGTTAATTTAAAAATCACCTATTTTGACTAAGATATACATTTTTGTATTTTCTTTTAAAGCAGACAGACCTTCCTAAGTTGGGTTTTACTTATGTTAATAATCAAATGAGCATTTTCCCGAGCACATGACCAATGAATGACAAAATCAGTAAAAAATTTGCTGTGGGTAATCGAAATTTTCCCACAAGAATAAGGGCTCTTCTTTCAGACCAAAATAGTCTTTGTAGCTTGTTAACTTATCCTTCATATAGTTCACAACAGTAAAGTTAGCCCTCATCAAAATGAATCTCAGAATTCTAAAAACCATTTTGTTTAGAAAGTTTATGAACTAACTTTCCAGGGTCTCTCTCCCAAGAAAGTGTACTTCATTGTTTCAAGCCACAATGTCATCAGTGTGGGAACTAAATAAAATTAATATTTTCTCAATCAAAGAGCTATATACTATTCATTAACCTAACTACTTCATTACCTCCTCCAGAATGACTAAAATAACTACCTTTGACATTCCTTTTAAAAGAAAAATTTCTCCACTATGGGTCAAAACGTATTGTGGATTTTTTAGCAGCGTACTCAGAACTGATCTAGACAAAGTTCTCAAGCCCAAAGGTTTAGAATCAAAGCTATGAAGACAACACAGTGCCTGAATGTCAATAACAGACAACACATTTATTCATTCAGACACATATTAAACATTTATGTGCAAGGCATTATGCTAGCATACTGAGGAAGACACAAAGATAAATAAGGCACCACATAAAGCAATCAATAATCTCTTCATATTTTTGTTTGCATACCTATGTACATCTAAAATGCCTCTCCTTACATACACAAATACATATACACATATACATGCCTACTCAAAAGAGTAACCGAGATTCTTGCAGGTATTTATTTTACCATAATAATGGAGTGGCAATTTAATCTAAATGTCACATAGAAAAATGTCATATGGAAGTAACGTACCAGCAAAAGCAGTGTTTGTTCCTATTTGTATTCTGTTGAAAAGTCAACTTATTAAGTCTGTTAAAACCTCTATAAAAATAACTCTCTGATAAACTCTCTTTGCTTCCTCTAGAATCAAGTTTCCAATTTAGAGAAATAAGTATTAATATTTCCACACTAGCTATTCTCTTCTAGCACACAATGCTATGATTCTATCATATGGAAATAAGTTTTATGAAATAGTGTTTTTCAGATTGACATATTTTCAAATGAAGATATAAGAAGTGGTGAAAAAAACAGATGGAGCAGCCTAAAAAATGGGTGGAGTTCCTCGAAGATCTGTGATTTTGGTAATAGAGATTACTCCACACTGATAACCATCTAGTAAGGTTGCAGCCTGTGAGTTTCAATGGTTGAAAAAATTCTTCTCTCCATAACAACCTGCTGGGGACCGAGGCTGCTTCTTGGGCCACACACCCATTACCAGGCCCAGAAGTGAAGGCTCTTGGGAGTATCTCCGGGAGCCTGGGCTCTGCTGGCATAATCTTCCATCTTCAGAGCCCTTAGTGGGGGTTGATTCAACTGACAAATATGAGCTAGCTCATAACATGACATGCACGCTTGGACATTACCTAGCAAAGATAATCTGTTGTTGTTCGGTTGTATTAGTTGTTTCTAACTCTGTGACCCCTTTTGGGGTTTTCTTGGTAAAGGTACTAGAGTGGTTTGCCATTTCCTTCTCCAGTTCATTTTACAGATGAAGAAACTGAGGCAAATAGGGTTAAGTGACATGCCCAGGGTCACTCAGCTAGTGTCTGGGGCTGGACATGAACTTAGATCTTCCTGACTCCAAGCCTGGACCTCTATCTATGGCACCACCTGGCTGCCCAATTTGTCTATCCGTATTTTGTATAAAAAAAAAAGATTCCATATAAATAAATCTGCCTATACCTGTTTTATATTTATTTATACTGAATTTACTTTTATATGTCTATGTATCCCCTGCTCTTCTTGACAGTGGAGGCTTTGATGTTCGTGTACTCCCCATTCCTAGCAGTATCTGGCACATAATAGGTGCTTAATAAATGCTTACGGAGTGATAGGAATAAATATTATTTAATCTCAGAATATTATCCATAAGCATACTTAAAAGTGATGAAATTAAATCCAATCCTCACTCTCTCATATGGGAAGCTTGGGTTAACTTTTAAACACTAACAGAGGATTTATTCCTTTCCCCCACCCCCTCAGAACAGTCTGTGTGTGTGCAAAGCGAATTTTTCTTAATTTGATTAACTTGGTATCAGTGATTTCATCAGTATGGGCATATGTTTCATATGTGCAGATGGCAGCCCCCTCTTTTCCTCTATCATTTTTGCCCTTATTGCTCCAGAAATCTTCATTTCTCTAACATGACAGACCTACCTTCTCCTTTCTTGTATAAAAGAAAATCATGTCCTTTTACACCACTTTTCAATATAGTTCCCCTATGATAACATGCTATACAGACTACTTATGCCTACACCATGCCCTTTTAGTACTTATAATTGTCATGAAGATCTTAGATCTTTAGAGTTTTAAACATTTCCACAAGGTTTTTCCTGATAAATGAGTGAAATGGAAAAAACCATTTATTAATTGCATAGCATGTGCCATCTAGGGGTGCTCTGCACTTGCGGGTACACTGTCCCTGCCCTCACATACATATACATGCCCTACACATAGAAGAAACACTTGATGTACAACTATGAGAATATTCTAGTCTTCAGCCTGATGTAGCATATATTTGTTTTTTTTTTTTTTTTAGTGAGGCAACCAGGGTTAAGTGACTTGCCCAGGGTCACACAGCTAGTAGGTGTTAAGTGTTTGGTCTGAGGCCGAATTTGAACTCAGGTCCTCCTGACTTCAGGGCTGGTGCTGTATCCACTGTGCCATCTAGCTGCCCCTGATGTAGCATATATTTGAAAGCTATGCTATACTCTCTCACTCTAACTGCCAACCAAGCAAATTTGGATTGTGTTGCTAAGATTTTATAAAAGGTGGATTGTTTCCCCTCATACTCAGAATGCCTTCATTCAAATGATATTTCAGATCAATAATTACAAGAGTCTGATAACTGAGTTGATAGAATGTGCAGTTACACATTACTCAAAATAGTAGGTCATAAGTATTAAGTTTTCAGTTACTTAAGTTATGATTAAATTGCAAGTACTTTTTCCAGATACTCATCTTCTTTAATTAGGTGGCACCTTGGTTGTCTGAAAATAATGTTGCATTAAGTTAGACAAGCATAGTGTTATTTGGGATATCTTGGGAGGGAAAAATTCAACCCTTCCAATTATGACTTAGAGTTTGCATATGTCAACAGACCAGACTTTCAGAACATACTCTGCTCTACTTCTTTCTACTTATCCAGAAAGAAATGCAAAACTTTCTGAGAACAAGATTCAGAGGTATTCATATTTTGAATTCACTCAGATGAATCATTTCAGACCTCAGAGCTGCAAATCTATCATGTCACATGGCTAAAAACTAACAGGCTTTTTTTTTTGTGGGTAAGAGATATTTTTGTCTATCTTTATAAATGGAAATATAAGCCTCACCTTTGGGATCATTGTGCGTTAACAGCTGGATGTCAAACTCCTTAGCAAATGCTGTTAAATCAGGTGGCATCACACAGCAGGAGGCAAGGTTAACTTGGTTACTATTTGGTTTCACCTACAAGTGAAAAGAATTTTCATTTGACTAAGATTTTTCTAGATCTATCTTAAATTCATGGGAATATACAAGTCCCCCCCTTCAAATAAAACACTTCCTTAGCATAGTCCCAACCTGCTTTATTCAGTTCCTAGTTCAAGGACACATGTGTGGGTCACTGGTGCACATAAGAAAAATGCACAAAACAAAGAAATCAAAACTCAACTGACAGAAATGCTCAGTTTTTAAAGTTCTTTTAAAGTGTACATTAAAATGGTGTAAGATTTTATAAGCTAAGATCAGTACTGTCATGAACTTTTATTGTGAAATTCAGAGGTTGTCACCATCTATGATTCTCATTATATTTCTGTCACAGTGGCAAAAAAAAGGGAGGGGGAACAATAGTAGGTTTTAAAAAAATTACTTAAGGTCTCACAAAATTTACAAGTGATGCTGCAGAAAAATAAAAGGAATGACACTAATGGATTTCTCTAGTTGCTATAGTAACAAGGAGCTATTTCTATCACATTAGGAGCTACAAAAGGAATTATTTCATCACTTAAGTTTTCAAATGTTGCTAGCCTACATCAATGATAACAGAGTTGGGGTAAATGGCTGGGATAGGAAAAAATGCTAATTATCCACCGCTAAAAATGCCTGTTGTAAGAACCATTTAGCAGAATGCCACATTTGCTTTAAAATAAACCACATTCTGGTCTTAAAGATTAGCAGAAAACCAAGGGGTAACATTTTAAGGAAGAAGAGGATCAAATCCACAGAATCATGGAAGGTTAGAGCTGGAAGGAACCTGAAAGATCATCCAGTCCAGACTCTTTCTTTTACACTGGGGAAACTGAGGCCCAACAAATGAAGTGGCTTTCCCAAAGTCACACAGGCAGGTAAGCAACCAAGCCAAGATTTGCACCCAGGCCCTCTGACTCTAAATCCAGCATTCTTTCCACTTTACTATCCTCACTCTTTTGGTGGAGGGCACTTCCTGTACCTAGGGCTCTCTGAGCCACAATAAGATTAAAATGCTTGAAAGCGGGAAAGAATGGAGGTGAGTAAGGAAGTGAAAACAGATGTGGGAGATAAAAACAAAACCTCCGAACTTCTCTCTCCTACTTACATTTGTAGCATAAGGAGCCCTCCCACGGCAATTCTATTAAGTAAGAATTTCAGTAAATAATGCTATCAACAAAATGTGTTATTAGAGATATTCTTCTCCCACTCTAGCAGGTTACTCTAATGTAACCTATACATGAGGGATACACTGTTTTGATCACATAAGTAGCAAAGAACCAGTATTTTCTCATGTATGAATTATTTCAATGTACATTTTAAAAGTATTTTAACTTACTCAACAGAGGCTAATAATAAAAATATTAATCAGGAATATGAAGTCACTTAATTAAGTCTCCCTTCTATGCCTTAAAACTCTTGCACTGAGAAAAACCTATAGATACTGAGTTCCGTGCTGTGGATAAAGGCAAAGAACTTAAAAACTCCAGTTCCTTTCTTTGAGGCATTTGCAATCTTCCTGACAGTCTCTGTCCTTACCTGTGCCCACTGGTACAGCTGCTCCAGCTGGGCTTTGTCCAGATCAGAGGTCCCTATGGCCACGACCTTTTTGTTCTGAACCAAGTTCTCTAGTTCTTCCCAGTAAGGCTGTAGATGCTCCAAGGCAAGATTAACTCCATCTTCAACAGGGGGTGACGCGATGATTACAGAATCCAGCTGAGTGATCCCCAGAGCAGAGCAGGCTAATAGGAGAGCAGATAGAGCAGAACATTCAGACAGTTCTGGATCACACATTTGAAAGATGCATTTCCAATACCCTCCAGGCAACTCCCAGGATCCTGTCCACACTTCCGGCCAACTTTTGATCCAACTGGCTCTCTCTCCTCATCCCCCTCTCATAATTTATCTCTTGTCTCGTTTTGTCTAGCAGACAGGTGGCTATTCCTTCCTCCCTGTACTTCCAGAGCACACACTCTTACATGACACCACTAATTGTGCACAGGAGGCCCCTTTCTTCTGTGTCTGAGACCCTAGGCTCCTGTATTTCTTCACTGTAAAGGTACCCATCCAATGCTACCTCAAATGTATGCCACTGAAGTTTCCTGGCTAATATTTTGAGATTCTTCTGTATTTAAAGTTAAGATTCTGGTAAATGAATTTGTATTCTTGATCTACATTTAAAGAAATAGGTAATCAACTGTTCCATAAGGCGTAAGAATTTATCAGCTTCAGCATGTTTTTAAACATGACTGCTCATTCTAAAAATGGAAATCTATAAACTATTTATTTCAGTTGTCAACATCCATTAGTTACAGGAAAAAAAATACATAATATATTATACACCTAATACCAAAGTGACTACAGAGCTGTAAGGACAGATTGCAGAAAATATTAGACAAGGTAAACCATACATTTTGTGCTATTTCTCCTATTTTTTAATATACCAAAAAACACTCTATTATTAACCTTATATATTAGAATGAATTGTGCTTCCTGTGTCTGAAATTTATCTGAGTCTTTAAAAAAGGAAATGATTTCTCTTAAGATCCATTCACTTTCTTTGATGTCAACTAGTGGCAGTTTATAAGATTGTATCAACATAACGTCCAATACTAAGGAAAAAACAGTTCAGTTCTTGCTTACCCATTTCAACTGCACTTCTCATTGATGAAGAGTTTGATCCTACAATAAACAGTTTTGCTGGGTACCAAATAAAAAAAAAACAGGTTGGTTAAGTATTCACTTTCCAATGCTAAATACAAAAAGAATATATATTTAAAAATTAATATGCTCTGAAGTACAAGAACTAGTCTAAGTAATACAGAAGAAATTTTCTTCTGTTCTCACTGTAATCCACTAAATTTAGTTTTCTAATTATAAAGTTTATGTCTACAATGATTCCTTAATGATATGCCATATTAGCAGAAATCTACTCTTTAAAAAAAGTTTATATCACATTTACATTAATTGGAACAAGGCAGATTAAACAAATAATTCAGATCATGAATGTTAGAGTTTATTTAACAAAAGTAAGAGATCAAGTTTCTCTCAGTACGAATCCTTCTCATCAAGTGAAATCCCATGAAAACCTTTCCCCTCCGTCTAAGGGAAGGAGAGAAGAAGGGGCACCTGGCTGTCTGCCAAACTGTTAATGAACCCTTAGGTAAAAAATATGAACCCTTCCTGACCTAGAGGCACCTATCAGCACCTTATGCCAAGTCAGGGCAAGGAACCTGTTCACCCTTTGGGAAGCTGAGACAACTGGGCTTTCTTTTGTACTGTCCAATAGAGGCTTTATTTACTGAAATACATGCAACTTTACTGACCACAAAATACTGACAGGCTGTGGAGATAAATACTTTCTGGCATCAAAATTTTTTTTTTATACAGTGTCCCTTGTTGCATCTTTTTGTATGCAGCTAGAGTGACTACCTATCTTGCCTGTCCTGATTCCAGTTATGACCTTTAATGACCCGTTCTCTGCAGTGGATACTCATAACCCCTCTGGGGAAGAAAACAGAGGGGTGGCCGGTACTGATGCTTGAATGGCATCCCTCAAATAAAGACAAAGAACATCCTCATGCCTGTGTAAACTTGATCATCTTGCACTTAGTATTTTATTTTATATTTCAATTATGTAGTAAAGCTATTCGACATTAACTATTTCAGCTTAGTTAAAAACAGGAAAGTTTGCTTAGCCAGGGTGGAGGAGGGCTGGTCAGATTTACTTGGCATTTAAGATTAAGTTAGTAGTAATAGAAAAATAAGAAACCCTTTGGTAGCAATGGTTTTTATTTTATATAAAGCGGCCACTGTTTTCAACCTACAAGATCCATTTCTTCCAATAACTCAATAAAAACATCACAAGTATGCTCCACTTTAAGTAAATCTGATATGCAAAAACCTAAATTTATTCAAGGGATCCATTGAGAAGAGAAAAAGTGAGAAGGGAAGAAAGGCAAGGGCTATTCACATTTTTATTAGACTTTTATGTTATATCAAGGGTCTCTCTTCTCCTGCTACATTCTCAAATTTCTTCCTGTCTACTAGTTCCTTCCTATTTACCTTTAACCAGGTATAGCCTTTCTAAATCTGAAAAAGCATTCACTTAAGCCAAGTGCCCCTTCAAGTTAACATCCTAAAAGGGGGCTATATCTGCTGGCACCAATACTCTCAAAAACAGTTCATACAATATTCTCATACTGGGTTTTTTTTTTTCATGCATTTATTTCATTTTCCCTAACTAGATTGTAAGCTCCTTGTAGGCAGGGATTATGTGAACTCTCAAAGTGCCTAACAGCAGTATGTACAAATTAGATATTCAACATTTGATTTAGAAATTAAATTAGTGAGGATTCACTATAAGGTTACTTTAAATGACTAACCCTTCTGTATTTGAAGTATTCATTTTATCATAATTCAATTCATTCAACTTTCCACGAATACATTACTATATACAGAACCCTCTTCTTGGGCCATGAAGGGCCTTCCATGGGGCACCAGAACACTCTCCCTTTTCTGGATGCCACCTGGAAGAATTAAGAGGAAATGTATATGAATGGCATCCAAGGGTCAAGCTCAAGGGCTGATGACTAGAGGGAATCCACTAAGCCAGACCTGCTCAGAGACTGGATCCTGGAATTTTCACCTTTTATTAAACTGGGAGCTTAACCTCTTCTTGGCTGAGCATTCACAAAGACAACCAAAGCTGGCTCCAACCTACCTGTCCAGTCTGGTCACCTGACCTCCCTGTAAACACTAGATGTGTTCCAGTGAAACTAAATGTTTAATCTTGTCTCGTTCTCTCTGACATCTGGACATCTGCACATGCTGTCCTTCACTGCTCCCCCTAGCTTTCCACCTGGCAAAATCCTTCCCCTCCTCCAAGGCCCAGCTCAGGGGCTATGAAGTTCTTGAGCCCCTGCCTCAATCTCTTACAGTGCTAGGTCTGACCTCTCTCCTACACTCACATGCTCATTTCTATCGTGTTGGGTTATATGTTGCTGACTCAGCAACCTGGCTAGATTGTAAGCTCCCTGAGGGAAGGAGTGATCACTTTCCATCTTGTATCCCTAGGTTCTAGCACGCTGCCTACAGTAGGTGCTTAATAAGTGTCTGTTGAAGTGAAGTGCAAAAAGGATGCTCACTATAATACAGTCCTTTATATCACAACTAAAACGATGCGGTAATGAGGCTGTCTCTAGGGGGAGGATAATTTTTCACCCCAGCTCTCGTTTCCACAGCAGCAAGCAGGAGCACCAGCAGTCCTAATGCTTCTCTTGCCTTGCCACTGTTGCTGTGGCTTCCTGGAAGCAAGAAGGGACTTTTGTATCGGATGCTTCCATTTTGACAGTGAAAAGCAGAAAAAAGAAAAGAGAAGAACCCTGTTAAAAGGAAGCCTCTTCTCTCTACCCTCCATGAAGCTGACAGAACAGTACTCCTAACATGCAGGTCTCCTTTCACACTCCACAGCTCAATAAGCTTCCTGTTGCCTGGAGATTAAAATCTAAAGACCTTTGCTTGCATTTGAAAGCCCTTCACAACCTGGCAAGACTTTCCTTTAAGTCTGATGCTGGGATTTCAGTGGTATGCAGGACTCCCAGGGGAGGAAACTCCCTCTACCAATGCAGATTACACCTTCTTTTGAGTCTTTGGCAACTGAGAAGTTAAGACACTTGGCCCAGGGTACCAGAACTAGGATGAGTCAGGGGTGGATTCAAACCTAGGTTTTCCTGGCTTTGAGGACACTCTTTCCACTATGCCATTCTGTCCTTCTCAGGGGAGAAAAACAAAAATTCTGTTGTAAAAAAAAGTGTATATGCAGTGGCTGGCAATCCAGAGCAGCTTTCTTATCTATGTGTTCACTTCATCAGTGGGTACTGAGGGCAGAAGAAACATTGCCCTAAAAGTCAGGGCCTTCTAACTGGTCCCTCCCCACTACCACCTGTCCTCCACAAAGCTGCCCCAGTGACTTTCCTTAAGCTCAGGTCTGACCAGGCTCTTCTCCTACTCGATCACCTCTAGGGGCTCCCTGTTGCCACCAGGATGAACTTGGCTTTTAAAGCCCTTCCCAGTGCAGCTGAGACCCATCTTTGCAGTTTCATCCTAGATATCAGTCTCTTGCTCATCCTCTGTGGCCCATCCCAAGGGGCCTGCTCCCTGTTTCTCATACACCATCCTCTGTCTCCTGTGTCCCTGCCTTTGTCCCGATCATCTTTCATGCTCAGGATGTGCTCCTTTTTCACCAACCCCTGAGAGAATCCTCCAAGACAAACTTTAAGCACCCAGCATCCTCCTCTGGCACCCAGACCGACCCTGCATTTATCCTGTAAAGGTCATTGATTTTGTATTCTGTACACAGCTACAAGTCTCCTCCAATTCAGCATAAGTTCCTTGACACCAGGGACTGTTTCATTTTTTGGCTTTGTATTCTGAGCTCCTGTGCCTGGAACATAGTCAGCATTCAATAAATGGTTGTTGATGATTTTAATTCATGAATTAAAGGACAGTTTACTTATTCAAATTGTAAATGCATGGGTAAAAGACAAAGTAGCCTCCTCCCAAATCAATCAAAAAGCATTCATGAAGCACTTATTACTAGCTGCATTTAAATTTGACCCTAGGCAAGTCACTTAACCTCTCTGTGCCTCAGTTTCCTCAAATAAGGAGGTTGTACTCAATAGCCTCCAAGGTGTCCTCCAGCTCTAAATCTATGTTAGATGCGTCTGCCAGTGAATAAAACCCCATCCCCAAATCCTAAAACGACTGAGATCCTTATTCCCAGATAGCCTCCCAACAAGGACAGGAAGGGTAGAAACATCTCCTCTAAAAAAGGAACAATGAAGTTTCTATTTAACTCTTCCATTTCTTCTGCTCCAACTCTCTTACCTAATTGTCCAAAGCCAAGCACGTGGAGAAGGTTAAGCAGCACCATAAAAAATACAGAACTGAAATTCACCCCTGACTGCACAGAGCACCCCATGCTCCGGTTTTACATGATACTTGACTGATGTACAACTGATTTTTTTGAGCTTTGATTAAATCCAAGTCGTAAATGAATTTCATTCTTCCATTTCTACCAGGCATTGCACAACCTTCCCATTCATCTGAATTACCCACATGTGTGGACTGAGTCACGTTCTGTTCCTGACAAATATCTGAATACTACATTCATTGTAAAGTTAACAATAGGATGGACTTTAAAGACTGGACTTTACCAGAAACTTTCATTTCTTCTCTTTCATCAGGATTTATCTTTTCTACTGCATGAGCTACGGTACATTCCAAGACATCTGGCAACTCCTATAATAAAGAGATAAGGTTTAAGAGTAGAGTCCATAAGATAATTACTAGTGAGTAACTATGCTTTTCCTCCTTAATTTTGTTGTTGTTCAAAACTCTTTGTGACCCCTTTGGGGGTTTTCTTGGCAAAGATACTAGAATGGTTTGCCCTTTCCTTCTCCAGCTCATTTTACAGATGAGGAAACTGAGGCAAACAGGGTCAAGTGACTTGCCCAGGGTCACACAGCTAGTAAGTATCTGAGGCTGGATTTGAACTCAGGTCTTCCTGACTCCAAGCCTAGCACTCTATCTAGCTGCCCTTTCCCCCTTAAAGCCAATTGCTTTAGAATCAAGACAACCTTAAGCAAACATAATACCAGTACCAAACGAAAAACAAATGGAAAATTTTGACTAAACTATCATACTTAACCTAAAAAAAAAAATCCATATGCAAAGCAATAGCATTTCAAAAATTCTATATTCTTCAAAATATGCATTTTAAGTTAAAACTATTTGGATGGAGATATGTATTCTCTATAAAACTCTCTATAAAACAGAGAAACTTTTAAACAGAATTATTATTATTATTATTTACATAGTATAATCCATAAAATAAAAGAGTTGGACTCTTAAGTTCTATTGTGCCTCTAATATTCTTGGACAAAATTTCATGTTAAATCTTAGTCATAAAAAGAAATAATTCCATTGTAACTAAAAATGTTATGAGATGATAGTAATAAATTACTGGTAAACATGGATTTAACATACTCAATTTACACTTGTAATATTTCTTCTTTGAAGGTTTCTTGCATGGAGATTTTTTGCAAATGATCACAGAATCACCAGATTTCAAAGTTGGAAAGTATCCCTAAGATCATTTAGTTCAGCCTGTTAACTAGTAAAGTAGAAAGTGCCCCACCCCTGAGCACTGCACAACATACTCGCTAAGGCAGGGCTAGAAGGAAAACGGAGCCTACCACTTTGTAGGGCTCCCCACTTCCCTTTTAGATAAGAAGTTTTTCTTTCCATCAAATCTCAATTAGCCTCTGTAATTTCTAACCTTCCCTCTTAGCTCTGCTCTCTTACCCCAATAACAATCTTCCAAATACCCGAAGACAGCCACCAAGTCTTCTTTGCAGGCACCAAGTCTTTTCCCTTCCAGGCCAAGTATCCCTAGTTCCTTCAACTGATCCCTACAAGTTACACAATCTTGAGGCTCTTCACTAACCTGCTTGTTCTCCCCCTCCTCCCAAAATGAGGCACCCAGAACTGAACCTGACCTTCCAGGCCCATCCAAGGCCCTGCCTCTCCTGGTGTGGCCTAAGATTTAGATCTACCTTACAGATCGAACAGAAAACTGCATGTGGCCTCAGAACTGGAGGTTAAAAAAAAAAGTTTAAATGATTAATAGTGTTTAATTAATACCATAACTAGGGATAATCAGTTAGAAATATATGCAGTTACTGATGAATCCTTCTGGCTTATGGTCCATTCATATACCTACTATAATTTACATTCTAAGGACTTTTGGTGGTGGTCAGTAAACTAGTAGAATATTTAAAATGGCCATATACAGTGTATTCCAAAAGTCTTACTGCAGTTTTGGACTCAAATAGCTTAAAATTGGAATACCATCTATACCTCTCTATGTAAACATATTTACATTATATATAAGCATTAAAAGTTGACTACATCTCTCCTGTCTCTGGCTCTGTAGCTCTCTCTTGTCATTTTAAATATTACCACCAGAAGTCAGCCCATGGACCACTAATTGTTCAGAGACCTCAAGCATCATGTTATGGTGGACAGAGAGGCAGGCTCTGAGCTAAGAACACCTAGATTCAAGAACTGCCTTTGACCCATCCTCCTTGTGTGACTTAGTCCTCCCTATCAGTTGCAGAGAAGATTGCATTGGTAGGGACAGTTTCCTCCCTTAATAATTCTCTATGCCAATTAAATCACAGAGCTACATTCTCTCTCCCTCCCTCCCATATATATATAAACACATACATATAGATGCATGCATATATGCATATACAAATATATATACACATATATACATACCTTTTTACATTAAATAAAACTCCCATCATATCATTAGAGTTTTATTAGGAACAGTTCTAATTTGCCACAAGTTCTAGTGAAATGTTGCTGGATCAGTTGATCATTTGCCCCCTGGTAGTCCAGTAAAACAAACTGCCATTACAAATTATTAATTGGAATTTTTATGTTAATTCACTGTGACTTTCTTATAAAAAATGAAAAGTTCTTGTAGCAAAAGACAATGAACTTTATGCTTATTTCACTATTGATATGAACAACTCAGTACTAATATTTAATTATTTACAAAGAAAGTCATTATTTCACTTACACGAACTAGATCAGGGCTGATTTGGGAGCTCCATTCATTCAGGGTTTTTTGAATACAATCTCGAAGCTGTAAAATAATACATTTGCCATTAAAATTATTATTCCATATTTAAATATAGAAAAAAAATTAGCTATTAGACAGTCTCATATTGGGCAGAGAACAGGCCTCAGAAGTTCTGGCTCTGAGACCTGATTGATGCATCCTGGCTGTGTGAGCTCAGTGCCCCAGACAAGCACTGAAGACCCTCAGCTGCGCACCAGTTTCTTTTCCATACTGGTAGAGGGAGTCGCTGGTCCAGACAGAAAAAGAATAAGCTTAATAATAAAAAGGATTAATAAAAAACAATCACAAACTCCGACTTTATTATCCAAAGATTCTCTCTCTTCAGTAGGGTCAAATCTGTACCTATTGTATATCTCATCCTAAAGCTGAAGTTGTGGCCCTTTTATTTTTAAAAACTAAACAATGCTAGTTAAAATGTCTACATTTGTAAAAGTTCATTAATACATAAAAGCATTCAAGTAGAATCATATTTTAAAGGGCAACATTTTAAACACCTTGAAGTCATATAATTTTAGAACCAGAAGGGGGAGGGAGCTTAGTTAAAATATGCCTTTCTGATTTGGCAGAGTACTGAAATATCTAAAATGCAGGAATCAACTTGAATAATATATGGTAACAGGTATGAGTTATTCACTGAGTTCTGAGAAAGCATCTCAAACAATTACTGAACAACCACAACAAAAACCACAAACTCCTGTGCAACAATGCCTAAAAACAGATAGAAGAAGCATTAAAAGTAATGGATTACAAACTCTCCATGGGCAGAGACTGTCCTATTCGTGTTTGTAATCTGCCCAGTGACTGCTAGCACGGTCATCAGAGTATAGAAGGCTCTCCACCACTGTTCTGAGGAACTAGACTCAAGTTCCTACAAAACATCCTTTCTGCTAGCAATAGGACAACACGGACCAGGGCCTTCCTCTCTCATTACCTGGACTGAGATTGCACACGACCAAAATCTTGGTTAACACTATGCCACTCCCTAATGTTTTACAAAAAGATGATCATTTATCATCTTTTTTTAAGCAAGTATAATTTAGTAGTTTGTCAACCACTAGACTTTTTTGAAGGGGGTATACATGCTTATCTGTGGACACTTCGGGGACTATGATGAAGTAAAAAGTGTGTGTGTGTGTGCTCGTGCACGTCCTTCTTCTGGCGTTCCTTTTGTGGCCTTGTGCCTCTATTTTCTCATCTGATTGGACTAAATGATGTCTAAGGGCCCTCTTCCAATTCTAAATCCATAATCCTATTAAAAATTCACGAGACACACATACGACTTTCTGGAGGGCACTGATATGCCAGGAACCGTGGGAAGACATGGGGCTACAAAGAGAGGCAAAAAACAGTCCGTGCCCTCACGGAACTCCCAGACTAATGACAGATTAGACTGCAGAGCTCAAAGTCTCCAGCCATCCCAGGAAGGGGCCTGCACTGCCCACAGGTACCATCCTGTGTGTACAAAAGATTTTCCTGCCAGATTTTTTCAGGTTATCTAAGTACCTGCCTGGCTAAATTCTGGGAAGCTCAGCGTGGAGAAAGCTGGCCACCAGGTCAAGGATTTTTTTTCTGCCAAAACAACACATAAACATACAAACCATGTCTGTAAAGTGTGGGAAGTGAATCAGGGATCTTTTTGAAGTTATTACTAATGACATGCTTCAAACTGGCCAAATTCCATTTCAACAAAGTATTTCAAAGTCCCACACATCATGGTCCACTTATTTCATACAATATTTGATACAATTTAACTCTAGTAAAACAAAAGAAAACAAGAGTCACCTGGAGTTAATGGCAATGGGACTTACAGAGTAACTTTTTCATTCAAAGATCTTACAACATTTTTCAAATGCAGGACAACGTGGAAAGAATGAATATATTTACTGAATCTAGAGGGGCATATTCATTTAAGAAAAAAAATAGCAACTATTGAGATAAACATATACTGGCTAAGATAGAACTTGGACACAAAAGAAGGTACAGATTCTGATCACTTATGACTATTAAAGCTACATCCCAAAGATCTTTTCTGCAAAAGTGCATCGGTTACTAACACTAAGCTTAGCTGGGCTCAAGCCCAGCACAAATGGGAAATATAGAAGTTTCAGAATCAATCATTTTTGGCAGGTGTCTCTTAGCAATGGCCAGGACTATATCCCTCACAGGATCATATGAAGAAACAGTACATTACAAAATTTATTTTCTTTCTTTTTAACAAGGCAATAAGGGCTTATATGTAAATTTTATACCCTCCAGAGTCTTCAACATATTCATAGCAAATTTTTAAATGTGGACTAAACTTCTTAGTATGTACCTACGCTAGCAGTTAAGTGGCACAGTGGATAGAGTACTGGCCTCAAGTCAGGAGGGCTCATCTTTTTCAGTGCAAATCTGACCTCAGATACTTCCTAGCTGTGTAACCTTTGGCAAGTCACTTAACCCTGTTTGCCTTAGTTCCTCATCTGCAAAATGAGCTGGAGAAGGAAATGGCAAACCACTCCTGTATCTTTGCCAAGAAACCCCAAATGGGATTATGAAGAGTCATACATAACTGAAATGACTCAACAACAACAATGTACCTAAGCTCCTTCCTCCAGGGAATACAAGTTAATTTTACAGTCAGCCTAGGCAAAATATAATTAGGGATGTAAATTTGCTACAAGAAGAGAATACACTATATTGTAGAGAGAAGAAGAGCCAGGCTCCCCATGTCCTGCTGGGCTCAGGTAACCAGGGGCCTGGCTGAATGTCTTCCATCTTCCCCAAAGCAATCACTTCCCTCTGGGCCAGCACAAGCCAACATCCACCTTCTGCTTCCAACCCAATCTTCCACTGGGGCAAAAAGGAGCAACCTTCCCTTTGACCTCAGGCCTTCCTTCTCCTGCTGTGCCTGCCTCTTGGGGGAGGAAGAAAGCTGATATGCAAAGGAAGGAAAGAGACTTCTCTTTTGGAGCAGGTTCAACTCTCATCTCCTGCTAAGCCCTTCGCTGCTTGTCTCCACCCTCTGGAGGGAAGAAGAGGGGTGAGGCCCTCCTCCATGATGAATGTTCTCACATCTGGTCATGCCCGTCATATCCCAGTGATTCTGAACCCTGCATCGTCCAAACCTCATTCTCTAACCCCATCCACTCAACCTTCTCACTTCAAAGTTTCAACCAAAAACCTCTCAGCCCTTGCACGCTCCCTCTGGAATGCCTGTTCCACAAGCAACAAATTTCCCTTTAGCCTAAATCTTATTACTGAAGCCTGGCTTTTCCCTGAACACATCGCCTTCTCAGTCACTCTTTCCAGTCCTGATCGCACCTTCACTCATTCTCCTCAGCTCCCTGATCAAGATGGAGTAGCTGGAATACGCCTTCCTCCTCATTGCCAATTCCAGTTTCTTCCTCCTATGTCACCACTCAGTTAACTTCTCCTTTGAGTTTTCCACTATTCATATCTACCACTGGTAGATGTTTTCTACAGACGTCCAGGTCACTCCCCTTCTTTCCTCAATGAACTTGATACTTGGCTCAAAGGCTGTAGCGATCAAAATTTATATTCCTTGGGACCAATTGGGTAATGTAGCTCACAGTTTATGAGCTAGATTTCTTTTATTTTCTTTTTTTAAACCTAACTCACTGTGAATCTTACTGACTGGCCAAAAAATAGGTCCCAGCCCAATCCTATCTTGGTCATTGTTTGGGGTTCTGATGGCTCAAAGTGAATATAAATAGCAATTGTTTCTTTTTGGGCCAGAAACCCTGGGAATTTTTACCTCCCAGATTGATTTTTTGCCTCATTTCTTACCCAGCCTTAATCACTGAATTGGGTGTTGCCTCATACAAACTGAGATCTGGGAAAGACCTTTGCTTAAAAAGGCCAAGATCTCCCACTGCGCCCAGGTCAACTCCAGTTGTACTGATCTATATCTCATCACAGTACTCTGATGTTGAGGAGAGAGTAGAGCTGAGGACTTTTCACAGCCCTGCCTCACTTAAATCCAATTCACTTGCAAGTCAAGACATCACCTTCCTGCTGCCATGATCCTCTTTGAGAATGAAGGACAAACAACAAACAGCAACAACAACTGGCCTCACAATTTTTCTCACCTCCTTAATCTCTCTGCTGACTTCCAATCTCACATCTCCAGTTGTCCTTCAGACATCTGGAACTGGATATCCAGCAGACATCTTAAACTCAACAAGTCCAAAGGGGGCTCATTATCTTTTCCCCTAACCTCTCTGCCCACCTCCTACCTTCTTGATCACTGTGGACAGCAACACCACTCTTCCAGTCTCTCAGGTGTGAACCGTGGGAGTGGTCCTGGATTCCTCACTCTCTCTCACCCCACCCCACCCATATCCAATCTGCTGCCAAGGCCTGTCAATTTCACCTCTGCAACATCTCTTGAACTGCCCCCTTCTCTCCTCTGACCCTGCCTCCTCTCCAGCAAAGGCCCTCATCACCTCACAACTGATTGCAAATGCCTGATGGTGGCTCTGCAGGCCTCAAGTCTCTCCTCACTCCAATCTTTCATTTAGACACTATGCCCCTAAATTGAAGGTCTGATCATGTTACCCTACTTAAGAAACTCCAGTGGCCCCTATTGCCTTCAGGATTAAATACAAAATACTCTTCGGTATTCAAAGCCTTTCTTAACCTGCCTCCTCCAACCTTTCCAGTCTTTTTACATCTTACTCCCCAACATGCAGGCACTCCATCTCTCGGCTCTGGGCATTTTCTCTGGCTGTCCCTCACGTCTGGAATGCTCTCCCTCCTCAATTCTACCGCTGACTTCCCTGGATTCCTCCAAGTACTAGTTAAAAGCCCATTTTCTCCAGGAAGCCTTTCCTGACCCCTCCTGATTCTAATGCCTTCTCTTTGTTAATTATTTCCCATTTATCTTGTATATAGCATTGTTTATATATATTTATTTGTTGCCTTCCCCATGAGGCTGTGAGCTCCTTGAGGCCAGGGACCGTCTTTGGCCCCTTTTTATGTCTCCTGTACTTGGCACAGTACTTGACACATAGTAGCTGCTTAATATGTTTATTGATTGATTCTAAAGCAAAATATATATATTTTAAAACCCTTAACATTATTTCCATCATAGCTCCCCTCCACTGGCATAGCACACAATAACTTTTTAAAGTATCAAATGTGTAACAGAAAAAGATATTAACTTGACAATCATACTGCTAAATGTGAAACAGAACCCTGTATCCCTGTAAACAGAACCAGGCTAAAAGTTCTAAAAGTTCTACTCTACTGATGTCTTGTCAAGGAAGGATAGTGACCCTGAGTTCTGGAGAGCCACAACAACAGATCCCAAGCTCTGGTGGGTCCTGCTTAGCTCCAAGTTCAGAGATGCTCATCACCGACTTCGCCCCCAAGTGACAATTCATTCTTTCTCTCTCCCTCTCTCTACCACAGTAGTCAATCTTACTTGGTGGAAGGAATACACACAGAAGATATATCATGGACAAAATTAATCAAAATTAACCAATATGCTGAAAACTGACATCTGAAGTATTTCTTACAGTGTTGAAGGCTTTTCCCCGTTCATTTACGGAACAGGAAGACTACAAGGGGAAAGGGATCTGTTTCCAAGGCCAGCAGCACCAGAGATTAGTGTTAACACATCTGCACGTTTTAATGCCAGCAAGGCTGGGATAGTTTTTTTTTTTATTATTATTTATTTTAAACTTGGACTGACAGTTTTTAGAGAAGCTCACTTCAAACTTCTAAAGACAAAGGCATACAACTCTTTTGTACTGCATTAAAATTAGACTATTAGGAAGTGTCTTAGTCCCCAAAATATTAAACTCTATAGTAAAAGAAGGTGCTCTCCTGCAGGTCTCTCTCTGGCTGTGGGATTGAATGGTGCTCCGATTTTTGGAGCTCAATTTTCTGGGGCCTAGGCAAAAAAACAGCATCACTTTTGTGTGTCTAGCTCTCCTAAGGGGACTTGGGAGCTGGGAGGACCTGGGTGTGAATTTTATCTCTGACACTTAACCAGCCCTATGTTGCCTCCAGGCAAGTCACATACTCTGAGCCTCAGTTCCCTCATCTGCAACATGCTGATAACACCACTTGTAGTACCAAGTGATTGCAGTGGCTGCCGGTAGCCTGGAGAGCTGGCCTTGGAACCTGGTCCTGCCTCACAGAAGGTAACTGACCTGGGGAGTCACTTAACCTCTAGGTTAAGTCTAGGCAAGTCTTCAAGCCTATCAGATGCATTTTGCATGTGGGAATTCCCTATGACAAGGACATAACAGGTCCAGTGCCTGTGCCTTTAGGGTTTCCATTCATTAGTTCTTTGCATCCCAACTCCCGGGGCTGTGGTGAGGACTCTTACAAGCCCTACGGAAAATGGAGCAGGTCTTGTCTGTTTGGGGGGCTAAGCGGCGCGGGCGGCGGCAAAGGTCTTAGAAGAATGGACTTCCCTTCGCCAACCTTAAGACCAATAAATAGCACAGTCCAGGGCACAGAGCAGGTGCTTAATAAATACCTGCTTCCCTGACATACAGGGTAGTTGGCGGGGGAGGGGGTGTCATCTTTAAAAATTGTACATTTTTTCGCATTTCCTGCACCTTTCCCCCCAACATATGCGCGCGCACACACACACACACACACACACACACACACACACACACACACGTGCGCGTGCACACACACACGCTCGGGTCCGGGCACACCTCGGGGACTCTGCACCCTGCCGAAGAAGGGCGGAAGGGCAGCCCCGGCCTCCCGCAGTGGCCGCGCTCTCCCTGGACCGGCCCTTCGGGCAGCTCGCATCCCGCCCACCCCCGGGCCGGAGGGATGCGGGCGGGGGCCGGGACGGCGGGAGGCCTCGGCGCCCTCCCGCCCCTTCCCCCCGCGCAGGGCCCGGCGGCGGCACCGCGCTTACCTCCTCGCCGTGGCTGGACGGGCATTTCTTCCGCAGGCGGCCCCAGTTGAGCAGGTTGCCGGTCTGCAGGTGCAGGGTGCTGGCCCGGCGCAGCAGGAGCCCGGCGGCGTGGCCGTCCGTGCCCATGGCGGCGGCTTCGGGGCCCGCCGGGCGGGCGGAGCTCTGGGCCGCCCGGAGGAGGGAGGGTCTGCTAGGGAGACCGAGAGGAGCCGCGGGAGGGGACGGGAGCGAGGGGAGGGTCCGCGGGGAGGCCCGAGCGGCCGCTGCAGCCGCGGGGACTCTGACCGTCGCCCAGGCTGCCGCCGCGGGAGTCTGGGCCTGGCCTGCGGGAGCCGCTGTTTCCTGGAAGGCAATGACTAAGCAAAAACGGCGGCGGGAGAAAATGCTTTGTAACCGTTACCCGTCACCCGCGGGAGGGGGACCGGGCTGGGAGAGGGCGGAGCTGGGCCGGGGGCGGAGCCGGAGCGGGAGAGGGCGGAGAAGGTCGCCTCCTGTCCGGGATCACATGGGCGAGGACCCCCGAACGCGAGGCTGCGGAGACTGGGAGACGATCTGGTCCTGGCCTTGGCCTCTGGGAGCTGATGGCACCTCCTGCTGTTCCCAGCACGACCTCGGGCTTGCACCCAGGGGAGGTCGGATGGATGGACGGATGGACAGAGGCCCTTTGTCCTGAGAAACTAAGGGTTTTTTCTCCTTATTTGCTTTTGTTCAAAACTTCTGGCACAAAAACCCAGCCTCAGCCTTCCCGCCCAGGCCCATTCTCAGCCTAGGACTCTGGGAGGGAGGAAAAAAGAGACAAAGAACCACGACCTAGCTGAGTGTGAGCACGCAGCGTTGGAGCTTCTTCCCGCCTCCCAGCATCTGCACCTGCAGTCTGCCGCTCAAGCCTGCAAAGTCGTCCTGCCCCACCTCTGACGCCACCTCCCCCTGTCTCTGGGCCCTCCCACTCCCCTCCCCAACCCCTGAGGCTTCGTAGTATGCCCTATGCTGTCCCACACTATCCGCGAGTTGAATCTCTGCAATAGGATGTAAACTCCTCCAGGGCAGGGATTGGTTCACTCACTTTTGTATTTACATCCTCTTAGAATTGCTCAGCATTTAGTAATCGTCAAATGGGGAGGTTAAGGCCAAGATTAAGTGAGGAGATAGGCCCAGATAAACCACATCATCAAGTCCTGAAAGAACTTTGTATCCCCCGAGCTTAGCACAGTTCCTGGCACATAGTAGGTGCTAAACAAATGTTGATTGATTGAACGGTTGATTGATGGGATTGTTGAACCACTGTCAGTAATAGTTCAAAGACGTGGAGAAAGAAGAGGGTACCACCAGGTTGGAGAGGGGCAAAGGTCCAGATTTTCAAAAAAGGGGAGAGAATACAATCTGTGAATAGGCTTTGATTTCTGGGAAAATTCTAGGACAGATTGTGGAAAAGGTGGGTGGTGAATAGCTAGTCATTCAATCAACATTTATTAAGTACCTACTAAGTGCTAGGCACTGTGTTAAGCCTGAGAAATAAACAGGTATACATGAGAGCTAATCCCTGCTTTCAAGCAATTTATAAGGGGTAAACAAAACAAACCAGGTAGAGATGGCTAGGGAAAGGTACTGTGGTCTGGGAAGTCACGGGAATGGATGGTGGAGTCATAGGGGAGTTGATTGTACCCCCTTTTTAGAAGCAGGGGTGGTATTGATTTGGTTACAGTTCCCAGAGCAAGAGAGAAACTCATGGGGAGAGGGAAGTGTCTGTAAAGTTGCAGGGAAATTGGCAATTAGATGGCTGGTGCCATGGTTGGAAGCATGGTCTGGTGCTCTGGGGTCAGCTAAATACAATGGGTTTTATGAGTTTTCATTTACCAGTCAGGGCAATTGGGCCTCTAGTGTGGTAATTATGACTGCACGACATGGATGATAACAGGCTCTGAAAAACTGAAAATGAATATAATCCAGAAGACAAGGAAGAAGTGCATGGTGGGTATGAACAGGCTGCAATGAAGGATGGTGGCAAGGAAATATACAACAAGAAGAAAAAAAGGGCTGGTCTCATGGAAAGGATGAAGAATGATAGGTGGACAGCCCAAGGCCTTCACTGATATTCTCATGATGTCATTTTGGATTTTTTTGACCTTTGTACCACATCTATTCATCGTTGGGAATTATCTTCTTGCAAGATTCCATCAACCTTGTTACTCAACACTTCATCAGTACACTGTGCCCCTCTGATTTGGAGGGTTGAGTCATAAACTCCACTTAAGGAGAGAGGATAGGGCAGACATCTCAAACATCTCCCTCTTCCTTTTCCACCTGGCTGCACTCATTTTGGACTTCTTTGATTCGTCCAGGAGCACTGGTTTTGTACTTTGACTTCTCCATCGTAATCCCATGTCAGGTACCTCCCGTCTTCAGCTTTCTTTTGTATGTTGTCTTCCCCCATTAGATTGTAAACTCCTTGAGGGCAGGGACTGTCTTTATTTTTCATATTTGTATGCCCAGTGGTTAGCACAGTGGCTAGTACAAAATAGGTGCCTAATAAATGTTTATTAACTGACTGATGTCAAGAGAAAGTGAGGAAGACCTCCAGCACATTGAGTGAATTCCCTGTGACAAACTTAAAAAGAAAATGGACAGCATGGGGAAAAAATGCTCTAAATCACTAATAATTAACAAAATGGAAATCAAAACAACTCTGAGGTACTACTTCACACCTATCAGATTGGCAAAGTTTGCAAAAAAGGAATGGCAAATGTTGGTGAGGCTGTGGAAAAACAGATACATTAATTCACTATTGGTGGAACCAGGTTTTAAAAGCTATTAAACTATGCATACTTTTTAACTGGGAGATACTGCTACTATGTCTATACCCCAAAGAGATCAGAGAAAGAAGAAAAGGACCCTTATCTACAAAAATATTTATAGGACCTCTTTTTGTGGTGGCAAAGAATTGGAAACTGAGGGGATGCTCAAATGGCATGTTAATGTGTTGGAATACTGTTGTTCTGTAAGAAATGATGAAGAGGATGGTTTTAAAAATAAATTTATTATTTTTAGTTTTCAACATTCACTTCCATTAGATTTTTTTGGGGGGGGTAAGCAATGGGGTTAAGTGACTTGCCCAAGGTCACACAGCTAGTGTCAAGTATCTGAGGCTGGATCTGAACTCAGGTCCTCCTGACTCCAGGGCTGGTGCTCTATCCACTGTGCCACCTAGCTGCCCTCCATAAGATTTTAGGTTCCAGATTTTCTCCTCATCTCTCCCCTCCTCCTACCCCAAGATGGCATGCAAATTGATGTAGGCTCAATGTTTACATTTGTATTAAACCTGTTTTCACAGGTTTTCCTGAAGTCCACCTGCTCATCATTTCTTATAGCACAATAGTATTCCATTAGGTTCTTATCAACACACGACCAACTACAGTTCCAGAAGATTCATGATGAAACATGTTACCCATCTCCAGAGGGAGAGGCAATGGACTCAGAGTGCAGATTAAAATATAGACACAACACATGGCAGACATGGCATGTGAGAATTTGTTTTGCTTGATACGTATTTGTAACAGGTTTTGTTTTTCTTGCTTTTTCAATGGGTGTGGGAGGGAGAGATAGGAGGGAAAAATTCGGAACTGAAAATAAAATTGAAATTTTAAAAAGGACATGGATAAGATTTGCATGGCATGAACGGACATGGATGGGCTATATGATCTGCATCATTGGGGTGAGCATCTTAATGTCATCATAAATCCACTTGAGTATTTGAGACAAAAGAGTTGACTTGAATATATATTAGAAAATCCACCACTAGCCATACTTCAGTGCTTTTGAAGCAAACTTTACTTAGGCAGAAGCAGCCTTAGGCAAAAAGAAACAATTTTCAATAAAGATTCTTCCATTAGATCATAGAAAAACCATAAGACCTGAATAACTAAGATATTGGCATCAGTTACAAGCACAAAGTACAAACATTAAAAAAAGAAAATAAATAAAGGAACTCTGAGGAAAGTCGAGCAAAGTCCAGAAGGTTAAATAAAACAGCTATGTAGCATTAAGATCTTTTCCTGAAGCTTGGGAAAAAAGGAAGAACGTGACCAGAAAATGACGTAAAGAGATTTCTTGCTTAATGTTTTAAAATTCACAAGCAGAGCAGTAACTGACAAGGGATGGATAATTGGAACTTAGGACACCAACCTTCTAGGGGCTGAGCAGGAATGCACTTTGTCCTTGGGAAAACATGTAGCAGCTCTTGTCCCAGTACCTCACCTTGCTGTCCTTTGCCCCTGAAGGGCTCTTCTGGGAGACCTACCAACCGTTCTTTCCAATACAACTTCACCCGTGGTGGAACTGTCCTCTATACTGTCATTCTTCCCTATTTCCCCCTCTCCCCTTCCAACTACATTTGCCCCAGAGACAGTTTCAATCTAATTGTTGTTATTGTTCAGTCCTGTCCTACTCTTTGTGACCCCATTTGGGGTTTTCTTGGCAAAGACACTGGAGTGGTTTGCCATTTCCTTCTCCAGCTCATTTTACAGATAGGAAACTGAGGCAAGCATGGTTAGTGACTTGCCTAGGGTCACATAGCTCTTAAGTATCTGAGACTATATTTGAACCCAGGTCTTCCTGACTTCAGGCCCTGTGCCCTGTCCACTGTGCCACCTTTATCTAGTTACAGCTCTGTGTAGAAGTCTTAAAGAGGAAATTAACAGGAAGAAAATATAAGCATTTGTCCACATTTTTAAAATGCTAAATTTTATGAGTCTGGTTTATCAGAATCAAACAATCAAAAACTTAATGAAAACATCCCATCACAATTGTCTTCCCAAGAATTAATTCAGGGTGTAAGGACTTTCTCCACAGGCTACACCAGTGTTGCCCAATGCTTCACTGGTAAGACCTAGAGTTAATTGCAAAGGAATCCTTATATACAGTAAGCACAGTCATTTTGATTTTTATGTACCAAATCAGCATTCCTGATAGGTTTGGGGTTTGTTTTTTTTTTTTTGTGAGGCAATCAGGGTTAAGTCACTTGCCCAGGGTCACACAGCTAGTAAGCGCCAAGTGTCTAAAGTCAGATTTGAACTCAGTGATGGGGTTAGGATCTGGACCCCAGAAAAATCTGGACCCCCACATGGCCAAATCCCTGGCGTTTGCCT